AATCTTGGGTTTATAAATGAATCTGTCACCAGGCTTAGGTAACAGTCACATGACGAGAGCTCTGTCCCACGTCGCGCTGTGGGGTTTTCTCCATAACATGTAAACGCGAAGCAGTGTCAGGGCAGACTCTGGAACACACCCCTCCCGCCCACGCCCTGGCCAGAGGCTGCACCTCCACAGGCCATCATGGAATCAGAAGCCACCCTCTGACGCACACCCAGAGAACCCAGGGTGTTTCTGAGGCAGAGGAGAGGGAGAAGACAGCCCGCTGGCCTACCCTGAGATGCCGCCCGAGCCCTGGGACCCACACGCCCTGGCAGACAGCTGGCGGCCCTGATGAAAACCTGGGAAAAGCATCTCTACCACAATACGGAGCAAAGCCCAGGCCTTTGCCTCTGCGGCCTTTTCCCCAGAGCTGAAAGATCAGACGCAGGCATGAGGTCAGGGTCAAACACACGCGGGCACGTCCTGCTCGACACTGTCCACACCCGACCTGTGCTGACGGACACTTAGCTGCTGCTAAGTTCAAGTTCCAAGACGGAAGTCGGCTTCCTGCCTTAAAATGTTCCTCCCTTATCCTCTTACATACGACAGCTATAAAGAAAGGGAACAGTGAAGAGACGGCCTAATAAAAGAGAGACACGCGTGGTGGCCGGGGAGAGAAGAAAGGCTACTTGAGGCCCTCAACGGGACTGAGCCAAGCCTCCAGGCCTGCAATGTCCTGTTGAACTGACACAGTGGCTTAATTAAAAAGCACGCAGAGAATTCTGCTTCATTGGATTTTCAGTTCAGGCTCTGCATCCGCAATGGCCAGTGGCCAATTTCCGCATCTAGCATGACACTGCAAGGGCCGTTTAAACCGCCTGCCTGGGGAATCCCGGGAGTGCAGGGGCCATGTGCCTGCTACCAAGGGAACATGCCAGACTTCGCACAGGAAAACCCCTGGGGGGATGGCCGCGGGAGGAAAAAAGGAAATTTAACTTGGCTGTATTACGAGTTTGCCACTGTTCGCATTGCCGCACGGAATCTACCAATTAAGATGTCCCCGAGCCCTCTTCGCTATCGCCTCGGAACTAATGTGTCTGATGAAAACCAACGAGCAAGCAGCTTTAAAGGAAGAGGCAGACACACACATACTTGTTCGCCAGCTCGGTAAAACAGTGCAATGACTGCGACAATGACAGCACTGACTTGGACAAAGCAGCGAGGGTGCCGCTCTGCCCCACCCCCAGAGCTGTGTGAAACACTGTGTGTCTCTGAGAGCACTATTCAGAACCTACCGGGAATACTAGCTAGCGCGCCATCACAAGACATGGCAGTGGCAGGCCCGAGCACACACATCACACACCCACGTAACTACACGAAGCTACGGACCCTGACGGATTTCACGCCACTGAATTTAAAACTGAAAACACGGACATTTTTAACTATCATGCCTTGATGAGCTTGATGTTAGAGCTTTCTAAACATTTCTACTAGGAACTAGAAAGCACCCTTTCCGGACCAGCAGATGGAGTAACGGTTACGTCGCTGGACTCCCATGCAGTTTTGACTGTGGTTCAAGTCCCAGACCTAGTGTCTTAAAACTCACACTGGGCATGTGTGCGTGCATGCTCAAAATCCCGAGAGAAGAATAGAGGGGCCTGCAGTCTGGCCATCTTCTCTGGGGGGTGATTTCTCATTTTTTTCTGTCTCTTTCTGTCTCTGGTGAGCACACACATCCAATAGCAAAAATCTCTGTACCAAAATAAAAAAGATGGAATATACCCTGTCTTCTGGCAGATTTGTTTCAAAGTATGCTCCTTTCATGCTAAACCTGGTTCCGTTCATGCCATTTCAAAAGAGGAAAAATAACATGAAATTTTAAAACTGCCTGAGATGATAACACATAATTAAGAGCGGACTGTTCTGTATTAAGCTGCATTCTGAATTCCATAAAATACTGATGTTTTCTAGAGCGTTTATGAGAAGACACACTACAGACCACGCTGAGGACGAGAGCTTGGTAACAGCCAACGTGTGCGAGAGAAGTCCTAGGCCACGTGCTTTACACGAAAAACCACGTCTCAGAAACGTCATCACCATTGCTGTGCCGGCTGGCAGAAATGAAGCTGAGGCCCAGGTAGAGTGGCCCGCACCAGCAGTCTGACCGACAGCCACACCGCTCTCCTTCCCCGCTCACTGTGTCCTCTGTAGCGCGCCAAGTCAGCCTCTCCGATTTCCATCAGGTGGACGGCCCTCGGTGACCTTGAGGGGTGTGAATGTAAGCGACTGGTCCAGCTCACGTGCAGTGCCCGGCCCGGCACATACTTGACAGATGTCAGGCTCCGGCCTGGCATCTCCGTCCGACCCAAAGGCCGGGCCTGGCAGTGTGCCCTGCAACCCCAGCACTCTGGGAAAGCTGAGGCAGGAAGATGGTGAATTCAAGGCTGGCCTGGGCAGCAGAGCAAAACCCTACTCCCACCCCCAACCTCCCCAAGAAGAAGAAGAAAGAAGAAGCCAGGCATGGTGGTACGCACTTGTGGTCACAACTGGGAGGCTTTGACAGAACAACTGTGACAAGAGCTTATCCTAGAAAATAATGCACCTAGGAAAGAATATTCTTCTGATCATGTGCAGAAAAAATAGAGGTGAAGAGGGAAGCGCTGCCGCCTGGCTGTGGCTGTGAGCTCTCTCCAGGCCCTGCGCCGGCCACTCCTCAGCTCCCTGCTGACCTCAGTCTACGCGGGAACGGGAGAAAGGCGACAGGCCCTGGGCCTCTGTCAGTTCTCGTCAGTGCTACAGCACTGCCCGTTCTGCTTCCACGGCCTCCGCCAAGCCTCCTTCCTGACCGGCTCAATCACAGGACTGGAGGAGAGCAATCTGGAGTGGGGTGGGCCGCACTGCACATTGGTTTCAAAACAATGGTCTATTTACTTATAACTAGCTTTGTATAAAAAGTACGAGTTAGGCAGATGTCTGTAAAATCCAATGTGAAAACAAACCTTACACCAGCGTAACCAGCTGTCTGAGTTCGGTAATACTCCGCGAGGGCCAGTGTCAGGGAGAGGGATGAGCGACGCGCACTTAGAGCAGGCAGCGAGATGGCAAATCAGCGACGGGTTCGTCGGCGTGTTCTCTTGAACAGAGCGGGCCGCGGGGCCCCGCCCTCCGACCCTCACTCGGCAGGAGCCTCAGTCAAGGTTCAGTGTTCCGTCCAGACACTTGCCAAGCCTGGAGGGCCACATCCCAAACCCGCCCATCCTGTGAGACACAGATCCAGGCAGGACAACGCCTCTGCTGGCACCTGCCCAGTCCCTGGCAGCTGGAGATGGGCTCTCCTCGGTGCTCGCGGCACGGCGTAAGCTGCCTCTCATTTGCTAGCATCTCTAAGTGCTCCTGCTCGCCCTCGGAAGGCGAAGCTCCATCTGTCTGTGCCCCACGAGCTCCTCTAACAGCACAATCACTATTTCTTAGCAAGAGCTCAATTAAACCCTGTTGCATGGATAGCCATCAAAACCGCTGGCTCCAAAATTCCATCAAAATTGCCTTCTCGAGGTTCTCCACTGACTTCCTCTCTTCTTCCTGTTCATTCTTTTCAGCCCCTCTTTAACCCTGAATCTGTTACCTTCTACTCTGCTAGTAACCTGTGTCCGCTGGCACCCAGGGCGTCATCCTTTCCCCCACACTACTACAGCCTTTGCTCAGAGCTCCCTGGCTCTTTCCTCCTGCCACGTTCCACGGTCCTCTTGTCATCTCCATCCCGTGTGCTGCCACGTGAAGAACACTAGCACTTTGGGAAGATCAAGGGCAGCTCTGGGCCTGGGCTGTGGGTTCTAATTGACTACCTTGCACACGGCCCCGACAACGGGGTACCATTTAGCATCTTCAGACCTCACAGAAGAAGGATGTAAACAGATCTCTTCAGATTTATACTTCTCTTAATGCCTTCCGAGAAATTATAAAGTCAAATAGCTTTTTAATCAGACTATACAATTCTTTCATATTACACGGATGACTTCATTCTAACTATCGATTTTAGGAATGTAGCACGATTAAGAAAAACACCCCAACAATAAACAGCAGTTTCCTCAGTGTCGAGTCTGACTGCCAGCCGTCCACTCGGTCTCAGCAGACTGCTGACAAGGTCGGCCACTGGCTCTCGGCTGCAGGTTCTGAGCCTGCGGGACGACTGCCAGGAGCAGAAAGACGAGTCCACGGATACCGCACCCCCCAGCCCTCCGTGACCCAGCGCCCGCACCCTGCAGTCTACGCTGGGCTGGACGCAGACCCTCAGAAAGCCACGCTGCATTTCTGTACAGAAAGGTGTGTCACGACCCTTCCAGCAACCCCGCTGGCTTACGTTCACAGCACGAGTGGTTGCAAATCCGAACTGTGAGACAAGTCATTTCATTCACGATAGTCGATACAAGGTTATATGTAACAATTCACACAAAACCGGTATGCGTACAACTTCCCACGCCAACGGTATTTTGTTAGCTATTCAGTAGAAATACAGACACATTTCACCCCATGTACCACCACGTGGATAAAACTAAAAACGAAAAGGCATGGTGGCCTCACCATTAACACTGAGTTTACTCTTTCTGGTTTAAAAAGTCTCTCAGAATCGATTAACTACTTAAATCTTTGCAGTATAGCCCAACACCTGACGGCAGAGAACTGTGTGCGCCGCCAACAGGAACCCCAAGGTGCCCTGCTCTGGGAAAGGCACCCTCTCCATCTTGGCGAGTCCTGAGGGGTGTGCCCACGCCTCTGTTGGCTGCTCCTGAGCCACCGACTCAGCTGGCAGCGGTCAGGTGACTGCCCCATGGACAGGCAGTGACCCGACAAGCAGTGTCCTCTGACTGCTATCCATGACATGGTGCTGGCCTTGCTATGATTCATCGACTTCACTTTTTCTCTTCCACTCAAATGGTTGTGTAAGCCTACTGTTTCTAGTCCAACATAAATGAACTTTATTTCTTAACAAATGTAACTCCAAAACTTGATTTGCTCACCTTTTTCAGGCCAGCAAAACCTTCTGATTCCAGAAAGAAAAAGGCAAAGGGCATCAACACAAATAAACAAAGGTTGGAGAAGAGAGAAGCGAGATTCCACAGACCTGTGAGGAGGAGGACAAAGGAAAAGCACGTTAGATGCAAGAGCCTTCTCGACGTCGCTAACTTGTGATATTCACCAAGTCAAGGCCTTCTGTGAGTAACAGTAAACATGAACTTGAAATATCTAATGACTTACACGTAGAAATCAGAAAACAATTCCATGCTTGTTTAAAATTTTTATACCTTTGTAACTTGTACCTATTGGGAAAGAGCGATATAAAAGTTAATGATGTCTCCTCCTGCCCTAAAGTAAATGCCTTAAAGAGTGACATGTGCAGAGATCCAAAGACACAGCCTCTTCAGACAAATAGGCACCGGGGTATTGAAGTTAGAGCCACTAGCACTTATTGAACACTTAATAAACTCCAGATACTCTGCTGAGCATTTTACATGCATAATCCCATTTAATTTAAGCCTCATAAAAACCCTGAAAATAATAATTAGCACTTATTGAGCCCTTATGTGCAAGCACTATTCTGAGTGATTTACGAATATTACATGAACTCATTCTCTCATCCCCGCAGTCCCGCAAGGCAGGGAACAGGGCTGCCCAGGGTGAGCGGCACAGGCTGCAGCTGCAGTGGGACCTGCCAAGCCCACAGAGCCTGCAAGCCGCAGGACCAACTCTCATTCCTGGGACTTTAAAACTCACTACATCACAGAGGTTTCGGTAAAAAGTTCCAGCTGGACAAAAGGAAGTTAGATAAGTACACATGGCCTTTTCTCCTTTTGGTACGTTCTACACTCTTTGGGAAAACCGAAAGAAATGGCAACTAAACAGATAAGATTCTAAAAGACAGAGACCTTTAGTATGTGATTTGGAAAGTACCTAGCTCAGCATCTCCTACGTTTTATAAACAAAACACTGACATTTAAAACTGAATTTTGGGCCAGCAGGTCAATGAAGGTTAAGGCGCTGTATCCTACATGGCTGGCTGTGTGGTTCAAGTCCCAAAACCAACAGGTTAAGAATCACACCAGGTGCATGCACACATGTGCCCAAGATCCCAAAAGAAGCAGGGGCTGCAATGTGGCCATCCCCGAGCGGGGTGATCTCTCACTCCCTCTCTCTCGCTCCCTGTGTGTGTTTTATGCACATGCTCTATGGGAAAAACTAAAAATAAATAAATAAAACCGAGTTTCAAAATGATGGCTATAATCTTTACAAAGATTACAAAATCAAGAGTCAAAGACAAAAATTATGCTAAGTATAAACTCAATATAGCATGTGCAATTATAGTACAATGTTTTTTGAGAATGGGCAATGACATGGGACCAGCAGTTAGAGTAATGGCTATGTCGCTGGACTCTCATGTAGTCGACTGCAGTTCGAGTCCCAGACCTGGTGACTTAAAACTCACACCAGGCGCATGTGTGTGAGTGCCCAAGATCCCGAGAGGAGAATGGGGGAGAAGGGATTGCAACGTGGCCATCCCCCCGGAGAGTGACTTATTACTTTCTGCCTCTCTGTCTCTCTGCAAGTGTATGCCCCTATAGCAAAAACCTCTCAAAAAAAAAAAAAAAAAAAACAGAATAGGTGATGATGTTCTTTTTTTTTCTTTGGAGAGATTTTCGCTATAGGGCACGTGCACTCACCATACAGACAGACAGAGAGACAGAAAGCGAGAAATCACCCCCCGGGGGTATGGTCACACAGCAATCCCTTCTCCTCCATTCTGCTCTCGGGATCTTCGGCACACACGCACACGGGCCCCGGCGTGAGTTCTAAGCCACCAGGTCCGGGACGCGAACCGTGGTCGACTACGTGGGAGTCCAGCGACATAGCCATTACACTAACTGCTGGTTCCCAGGTGATGATGTTCTTGAAACATCTTCATTTATGGGCAGTGTTCAAAACACTGGAGATACAGAGAACACAGGGCCTCTGCCCTCAAGCCACCTCCAGTGCAGACAGGACCCACCACGCAGGGGTCCTCAGAGAGCCCAGTGAGCAGCAAGTTCCCAGCAACAAAGGTTACACCCCGACACGTGTGTGTCCTAACTGGCCTGATCCTCTCTGGAACAGCCTGGAGCACAAACAAACAAACAGAGCTCATCTGGGCCAGCCTGCGACCTGGTGGTTGGATCCCAGGCAGCTGGATCCCACATGACCAATGGCTCGGTGAGAGGCCTGGACCTGAAGCATGTGTGTGTGAGCCCACATCCTGAAAGGAGGGAAAGACAGAGAAGGGATCACGGCACGACCATTCCCTTAAAGGGGGCTCGCTCTCTCTGCAATGCATGTGCCCTCTGGCCAATTTAAAAAATTAATTTAGCACTTAAAAAAAATAAAGATTTATTTATTTTTAAAAGTTGACCAGAGAGAAAGAGAGAGAGGGGGGAAGAGTGAGAAAACAAGCTGCCAGGTCTGGGACTCAAGCTGCTGTCAGCCATGTGGGAGTCCAGTGCCCCAACCACCATGCCACCTGCTGACCCCTTAATGCAGCACTTGTACAGGTTACCTAGAGAGATGTACTTCCTCCAATAGATACATAATTCATAATAGCAATTTACAGTTTCTTATTTTAAAATCTATACAAATTCAATTTATTAATAGACATTTATGTTTTGGGGAATAAAATGTTTTACAAATTGTTTAGGAAATAATGTCTTAATATCTTCTGGTGAAGAACTCTAAACTTTTTGAAGTGAAAATTGTTCTAAAATAGTTTCACATTTTCTAGTCTTTTTTTTTTTTTTGGAGAGGTTTTTGCTATAGGGCGTGCACTCGCCAGACAGACAGAAAGAGACATAGAGACAGACATAGAGACAGAAACTGATAAATCACCCCCCACGGGGGATGGCCACGCCACAATCCCTTCTCTTCCATTCTGCTCTCGGGATCTTGGGCACGCATACACACACGCCCCGCGTGAGTTTTAAGCCACCAGGTTCGGGATGTGAACCGCGGTCGAATACGTGGGAGTCCAGAGACATAGCCATTACGCTAACTGCTGGTCCCACATTTTCTATTCTTTAAAAGAAAAAGCAAAGTTAAAAAAAAGTTTTAAGCTTTAACCCTTTCACTTTTATCCAAAGGAATTATCATAGTAGAACAGCATCGATTATTTATTTTTTCTAGAGAGATTTTTGCTATAGGGTGCATGTACAAAAAGTGAGACAAAAAGTGTTAAGTCGCCAGGTCTGGGACTCAAACCACGATTGACTACATGGGAGTCCAGCAGCGTAATCATTACGCCATCTGCTGGTCCCAGTGCCAATCACTTTATTGTGCTCAATCTCCAGGAACGCGTGTAGGATTAAAGCTAGACACATGCACGTGCATCGGAGACAGAACCAGGGAGGCGTCCTAGCTGCACGTCCACATGATAGTCCTGCTAGGTCCCACCTGCTGCAGAACACAAGGCTGATGACGCGTCTACAACTGCAACCATTCAATGACATAATGCATGTACATCGGGCACAGTGCCTGTCTCAAAATAAGCATTTAACGACTTTTGCTTTTTTTTGTTTTTTGTTTTTGTTTTTTTGAGGTTTTGCCATAGGGCATATGCGCAAGCCAGAAACACCCAGAGAGAGGGAAAGTGAGAAATCACTCCCGGGGGGAATGATCACACCACAATCCCATCTCACCCATTCTCCTCTTGGGATTCTGGGCACACACGCATATGTGCCAGGTGTGATTTTTTTCAAGCTACCAAATCCAGATTTGAACCGTGGTCAGCCATGTGGAAGTCCAGCCCCTTAGCCACAGCGCCGTGTGCTGACCCCAACCCTTCTTTTACCACGCTACATCTCTAGAGGCCACGGGGACACAGCGCCGTGAGCTCCCACACCCAACTGCTGCCCTTGCTCAGCACGTGTGCTCACCTTCTAGTTGTCGCTTCCACCTCCCTCACACCTCCAAGTGTGTCAAACTGTTTTGTTACTAGCAATTTGCACACATCCAGCAAAAACTTCTCCCTTCTCCCCCTTGCATGTATTTTTTTAAAACTTGTTAGGACCAGCAGTTGGCGTAATGGCTATGTCGCTGGACTCCCATGTAGTCGACCGCAGTTCGAGTCCTAGACCAGGTGGCTTAAACTCACACTGGGCATGTGTGCGTGCGTGCCCAAGATCCCGAGAAGAGAATGGAGGAGAAGGGATTGTGGCGTGGCCATCCCCCCTGGGGGGGTGATTTCTCGCTTTCTGTCTCTCTGTGTCTCTCTGTCTGGTGAGCGCACGCACCATTATAGCAAAAACCTCTCAAAAAAATAAATTTAATTTAATTTAATTTAATTTAAAAAAGAAAAACTTGTACCCGACACAAGAATTGGTGGGCCTGGACCCCGCTGTGCCGTCCAGGTCCAGCCCACGAACCTCAGTGCGGACTCTGCCCTCTGTCGGGACTGCTCCACGGTCTGGTCTCTTCTGTGCTGTTCCCAGTAACTCTGGGTATGTGTGCCGTGCCAGTGGTTAGTGTGTGATTGCTAAGGAGTAGATGCTATGCTTTAGCAGGCTGGAAAATCATGATTGTTAATGTGTTCATCTGTTTAGGAATGGCAGAAAATGGAAAACTGCTGGTTTAAAATCATTTGGGTTTCAAAAGATAGATCAGAGTGTCAAGGATTATACTCAGTTTACACAAGTTAGTTTTAGTGCAATTAAATATCTCACAACCCTTTCAGGAAATTACTGGGTTGTCAAGTAATTACTGGATGACCCAATATAAAAAAAATTACCTACTATTTACTAAGCACCTAACATAGCTAGCAGGCACTGACCTGGATATTTTAAGGGTACTACCATGACCCTTTATGACAAAATAGGCCCTCTATTTTATAGCTGGTCTTCAAGTTCAGAAACATGCCCTTGTCTTAGAACCACAAAATGACTAAGCCTCTCTTCCTAATACGCTGCAGTATTTTCAGGCAAAATGAACTCCACTGTTTGCTAAATTTCCTAAAAATGCCTGAGTCTGTCTGACTACCCATCTCTTGACTCAAGCCCATAAAGCACGTATCACGTCTCTCCTGCTCAAGTTTCCCTAACCCTCTCTCAA